TGGATCCCACCTTCCCTCATGGACCATGGAAGAATTCTTTCTTTATAAGGTACAGACCCTGACCTCCATCATCTCAGGTCTAGCCTTATCTCAGAGAAAACAAACAAGGAATGTTGAGAAGGAAGGAAAGGACTTTAAGAATGGCAGTTTGGGGAAAATGGGAATAAGCATATCTGCCTGTCTTGGGGCACGGACGTGCGCTTTGGGTTAATGGGGCAGAGGGAAGTCTGCCCTGCTGACTTCCTGCTGACACAGGCTGGGGTCTGGCTGCTCTGTGTCTCAGCTCTGACTCTCTGCAGGGTGACCTGGAGAAGTCCTTGTTTCAGGGACAAACTGGTTCCCATGCTCCTGCTTAGGTGTGATCTCATCACAGGGGAGGCTCAACGGGTCAGGAAAAACTCACTATGAAAGTTGACATTAGGGGCTGGAGAGGTGGCTCAACAGTTAAGAACGCTGACTGTTCTTGCAGAAGATCCGAGTTCGAATCCCAGCACCCACATGACAGCTAACAGCTGTCCATTAACTCCAGAGGATCCAAAGCCCTCTTCTGTCCTCCATGGGCATTGCACGACACGGGTGCACTTACCTACATGCAGGCAATACACTCATACACATAAAATAAAATAAATAATAAATAAAATAAAAGAAAGATGACATTAAAATACCTCTGTCTATTCTCTGGGCCTTAAGCCTTGAAGAGATGAGATAAGGTACCACTTGGGAGGTAAGCACAGCCTTTGAGTGACTGACATGCCTAGGTGCAGAGTCAGGCAGGATTCTGACCCAAAGATTTAAGACAAGGGAGGCAGACACAGAATGAAGGCAGGGGAGCCATGCTTTTGTACTGTTTTAGTTACCTTGTGGGACGGTGCTTTTCACAAAAGTCTTTTCTAAGCACCGAGACTCTGTCTTCAGTGTCCTCAGATGGGATCTATTAGAAAGACAACAGCTTACTTGCACAAAATATTCAGCCAGCAGGTCTTGGAAGAGCCAACCCTGGAGATCTACAGAAGGTGAGCCAGGATGGCTCCTTACCTGAGCTGACTCAGTTGACACTGTCCCTAGCTTGACTCCTGTTTCCAGGAAGGACTAAGAAGTCACATGCCCAGCCCATGTGCAGGACTCTGTCCCACTCACAAGCCCATGGGAATATGTCAGATGGCTCCCATGTCTACAGATGTGGTAGGATCAGGCTGTTGACCTGCATTTAAACAGGACAAGGGGACCCAATGGCTCTTGGTGTCATTTACAATGTCAGACTCACAGACTGAGCAGAGGAGAAATGTCTGGGTTTAGTTGGATTACTCTATGGGGGTGGACCAAGGTGACAACATGACCTGTTATGTCCTTTTAGTCCTTCCTCTGCCTTTTTTTTTTAGTGGACAGGAGGACAGCAGGGGCATGCCTTTGGCAATGACCGAACATACAGCATAGAGGTCTATGGCATTCACTTTACCAGGTAGCCCCTGACTCTTCCCAGGAGGGGACCTAAGTGGTCCTGACTGACTACCTGCAGTTTCCACAGTGTTAGGTGCCTTGGGATACTTCCCACACTCACTGCGTCCCTGGCCTGTATGTACCACAGGCCTGGATGGGACACTCTGCTCAGCTGATATGCTGGACAGGGCCCTAGACAGACAGCAGGGGGTGGACCTTTTTACTCACCCACCCATATGACCCCAATCCCTGGAACTTCATGGCCTAGCTTCCTCCCCCTAGTTCTTCCCATCATTTGCCGCCTCTGGGCCCTTGAGGGGATTGGTGGGTTTCCAGGTTTGATTTGATGCATTGTGTTGATCAGCTGTCCTGTTATCTCCTCACTCTACAGGTAGCCCCTGACTCTTCCCAGGAGGGGACCTAAGTGGTCCTGACTGACTACCTGCAGTTTCCACAGTGTTAGGTGCCTTGGGATACTTCCCACACTCACTGTGTCCCTGGCCTGTATGTACCACAGGCCTGGATGGGACACTCTGCTCAGCTGATATGCTGGACAGGGCCCTAGACAGACAGCAGGGGGTGGACCTTTTTACTCACCCACCCATATGACCCCAATCACTGGAACTTCATGGCCTAGCTTCCTCCCCCTAGTCCTTCCCATCATTTGCCGCCTCTGGGCCCTTGAGGGGATGGGTGGGTTTCCAGGTTTGATTTGATGCATTGTGTTGATCAGCTGTCCTGTTATCTCCTCACTCTAATTCTTGTGAGGGGAAGATGTTGGTTGCTCTGAGTGGCTGCTTGCTGTACATGGGCTGAGATGCCAGACAGCAGGCCAGACACTTCAGGGCCTATCCTTTGTCTTTGCCTCTCCTGGATTTGCCCTGGGAGCACTGGTGGCTTGTTACTTCCCCACTTACAGGATCCTGCCTACAGGAAGTGGCAAATCAGCAGCCATGGGGGTGAACTGCAGAATGGTACTGCTTCCCTTTGAAACCCTGCAAGAGTGTCCTTTGTGGTGTGCCCCACCCAAAGACATAATAAGAAAAGCAGTCTGTGGGATGTAGTGCAGGCTGGTCTCCCTCCCATATTCCAAAAGCCAGCAAAGAGAACTTGTATACAAGAAGAATAAGGGGAAG